CTCAGCTTTCACTTTTTTACTTCTTCAATAATCCTCAAGTGTAAAGTCTTGGATCTAAATTATCATCACATAAAGGGGCAACAATCATTATCTCACCGGGAGGTGGCTACTAGTGATTTAATCCAGGTAAACTAGAAATAATATGTTAAATTTTTAGTAAACATTTACTACATTATTTAGTATAGTTTTACAACGCTATTTCTTTATTTTGTAAATTTAACGGTCCTCTCATAAAATCCCTTGTTATGTGATTGCAAAATCTGAAAGGAGAATGTGAAAAAAAAAATAAAGAAAAATCTGAAGTTAAAATAGATAATACATATATGTTGTATATATGCTGATTTCGTTGATTTTATACTACCAATTCTGGTAATATTTGCTGTCATTAATCTTGCAAATTAAGTTGGTGGCGACAAAAGCATATGCATGTTCCAAAATCTTCACCTGCGAACATCTGACCGATGAAAATGTATGGGAACTCTGGGAAGCTTGTTTGGCTTTTGTTTTTATTTTTTTGATTAAAAAACATCCATATGAGTTGGACAGCCAGTTTCATGCGTACCAAAATACCAACCAATCAACATGGTCCATAAATTAGTATTTAACGTTGTTTAATAACAATTTCTCATGTTCACTGGATTGGCTCACAATCTCCTCTTTAGCTAATTAATTCCCCAACCTACGTACAAGTCATCTGAAGTCTGAACCAAATATATAAACAGATAAATAAATTAAGATTAGAATTTGCACGTTGGTTTTAAGGAAATTTATATGGTGAACCATGTGTACCATATATGATACAACACTTGTCTAATTAATACAATCTAATTATAGAATGAAAAATTAAGAAAAATTTATTAAATCAATTCATTCTCTATCATCATTTAATTTCTCATACCATGCTTTCAAATATAACAGAAATAATATTAATAATTTTGTAACTCTTTCTTCTATTCATAATTAATGACTCTTTTCTCTATTCATAATCACTGACATAGTTTGAAAATTATGAACAATTTAAATTTAATAAAAAATCATGAAATTTGTGATATATATGTCATGAAAAATATTACTATAACTCATGAATCTTTCATAAAATGAGTATGAACTATAAATATAAAGATTTCTAAATATTTAATTAATATTTTTATGTTATTTGTATGAAATATTACATAATTCTCATGAACATTATTTTATATGGATATGAATATAGATTGCTTATTTGCATTAGTTTTTCAATTCTCTAAAAAAAAATTGTGAAATTTGGATACACATGGTATGATATGAAGAGTATCAATGTTATTCATGAACATTTCAGGAAAAGAGTATGAACATTTATTATACATATGATTAATCTTTTGAAATTTCTCTAATTTGTATGAACATTTAGCATAATCTTCATATATAGTCATAGTTGAATGTATGAATAGAAGATTTAAAATATTACAACTTTTAATTTATAATTATGTGTACAATTTTTTAATTAAAAGATATGAATTTTTTTTTATGTATTTGATATGAAAAATATGTTTATCATTCATGAATTTTACATTGTATGATTTCGAACCTTTAGTTTTTGTATGAATAGAAGTATATTAATAAATAAATATTTATTCCTTTTTTATTTTTTTAATCACGTAATTGGTTTGAATATATGATATATAATGTTAAATATAGAAAGAGGATTGATTAATTTATTAGTAATATTTTAATTAATAATTTATTCCTTAAATAGCTTCTATTAGTTAGAACAGTGCACCATATATGAACCATGTGCACGATATAAGAACTCTGGTGTTAAAAGTATAGTCACATTTCCAGGTTACACTAATTTACATTAATTATACTCCCCTTCAATTTCTTTTGGATACAAATAAATACTACAATTAATCGCTTATTCGCTAACATGCAATAGATATTGAATATCGATCATAAAGTATAAGAATAAGTGTTGGGGAAGATTTAATTCGAATAAATTAAAAAAGAAATTCAACATAGAAATTATGAGTGGGAACAAAAGGACCATATGAGGGAGGCCATTGTTCCATGTTTCATCTTTAGCTAGCGAGGATTGCAATATTGTGTCTTGACAGTTTCTTTTCTTTTTAGTTTCTTCCCTTTTTCAAGTTCCTTTTTCCCAATCAAAATATATGATTGGTTTTTAATCCGACGACCAAGAACAACTCTGATGAATTTGGGAGTGGCCAAGCAATAAAAACCAATTCAATCTTCTTTTAGAGATCCATGTGCTTAAAAACATTTGCTTTATTCCTTTTGTTTTTCTTTTTCTTTGCGTTTTTTTGGTGTATGTAAGCTAAAATTGTATGAATAACTATTGGCGAATTTAGTAACAGATTATTTGGTAAGGTCAAGAGGAGTTATAATATGATACGTTTGAAGTATGATTTAATTGGGATAACATTCCTCTCGCAATGTACTAATTTGATACTATTAGACATTTTACTTATCTTTTTGCAACAAAAAACAAAAAGAAATTGCAGACAAACACTAAAATTAATATATATGAGCAAAAAACTTCCGGCCATGGCTATGATGGTAGCATGAGAAATGGATCGAGAGGGTTTGTTTGGCCAACTTTCATTTTATATTTTTGTCTCATTTTACTTTTTAAAACACCTCTCAAACATAAATCTCAATACTATCCAAACAACTTTTTAATTTACTTTTTAAAAAATATTCCAAAAATTATTTTTACACAATTTTCATCCACTACCACCGGACCACCTCCACCAATACTCGCCGCTAAAAGACCGCCCCCCGCTGCTGCCAGACCACTGCCGACCGGCTGGATTCCAACGAGTTGGCCGAATTGGCCGGAATCCGGTCGGCCGGTTGCTGGTCGACGGCGGCGGTGGGCGGTCCAGTGGCGACGGTGGAGGTGAAGGTGGTCCGATAGTGCTCTAAAAATATTATTAGTTTATTTAAAATATCACTCAAATAACTTTTTAAATTTTATTTCAAACAATATTTTAAATTATATCTCAAACCCAAATAAAAAATCAAAACAAAAACAAAAAACAAAATGTTAACCAAACGACGCCTGAGGAGGAGGCCTTTTTCTGCCGAAACCTGAATGACCCCATTTGTTTTGTCTAAACATCCAACAACATTTCCTACTTTTTGCATTCAATTTACTACTACTACTGCTACTACTACTAATTGTCTAATTCCCCTTTTCTTTCCTTTCTTTTGTCCTTTCCCTCATTTGGTCTCGCGTGCTCTTTCTGAGATGACACTCAAATTGTCTGTTTGAAACCAAAAAGAAAAAAAGAAAAAATTTCATTGACTAGCTGTTTACATAACTCGTCAATGAGAGAAATTAGTCATTATTATTATTGAAGGTAAGAAGTGGTAATACTTTGTTATGAACACTGGATTATTGTCTTCTATCCGTCAAAGTTGATGTAAAGTTGAAATTTCTTAATGCTTGAATTTTCTCTTCTAAGGCTTTGCACATTGATATGTTAGTTTGTGAGTTGTGCACATTTATGAAGCCTAGACAAGAACAATTATTAATTTTTTCCATGACACAAAAGTTAATTTGACATAAAAGAAATCCATATACTTGAAAATTTTACATCAGATTGATAATGAGCGAACGCCGTATAAGTTGAGACACTAAAGAAGAGACGTGAAATGTGAATGTCCCTCTAAAAAGATCCAGACCTTGAAAATTATAAATATGTCTTCGGATAATTTGTTGTTCATTTCGTCAATTACAAACAACATAATAATCATTTTGGAACACTGGCATTAAAAATAATAATAGTAATAATAATAATGTGTGCTGTTAATCTTCCAGTCAGCCAGACCGGTAAAGGGCCTAGGCTACGAAGCCCATTCCATGTAGGTGTCCATCTCCTCAACGTTCCAGCCCGGGTTTGGAGCTAGGCTATGAAGCCCATCACATCAAACTCCTGCAGCCTGAAATGTTACAATCCGAAAAATAGTTATCCTTTGGTTAGTGTATTTTCATAAGGACAGTAGCAATGGAGTAATTCGGGCGTCGTTTCGTGATATTGTGTCAAAATCGTGTTAACGAATTGAAGCGGAATCTTTCCATTGCTTTCAAGTTATCACTGGGAAAACGCAAGCCAAGAGATGACAGAAAAAAAATATTGAAGATAATTGCATTAGCAGAAGAGTAAAAGAAGAGGAAAAGAAGAATATAAAAAGGAAACCACAAATTATTTGTAAATCTCCATTGGTTTCAGTTCAATTGTACATTTTATTCATGTAATATACGTTATTCAATTATTAAGCAGAGTGATTAACTGTTACAATGAGTGTAACAAATGATACTAATTGCAAAATACTCTTTCATCTCAAAATTATTATCCAGTTTGAAATTTCACTTTTAGTACAAATTATACTATTAACAATAAAAATTCTGTACAATCATGCTGGACGAGATGCTTGTTCGAAAGATAAAGGTAGGTGTATTAATCTAGTACAAATACATGTACTCCCTCTGTCCCATAATTATTGTCCAATTTAGGTTTTTATTTCTCTAGTTCAAATTGTACTAAAAGTGAAATCTCAAACTGGATAATAATTTTGCGACAGAGGGAGTACCTTTTATTTTTCCAAACAAACTATTTTATGTGCATAAATTTTCATTTTAGATTGCATAATTACATAAAATTTACAGTTCATGTAGTATGAATTGGGTTTCCTGGGATTTTTATATTTGTTTTTCCATTTCTTTTGTCCATACTTCCATAGCACTTTCTCTTCAAAAATATTTTTCGAATTAGATTTTATTCTTTAATACTGTCAATTATTTTTAGACTAACAGAGCGTACCAATTATTTTTCTCTCGTTAGCTCGTCCCACTTAAAAATATATCACATGGTAAATTATTGAAACAGGACGAAATAATTTCACTTTAATCTTTGCACTAGGATAAAATCATTATTCTCATTCCTTTTCTCTTTCTTTTTTTTGGGGTAAAATCATTATTCTTTTTCTTTTGATATAAACATATCAGTTCTTCTATAATTGATTCTAATCATGATTATTTTGATTGATGATGAGGGAAGATTAGTACTTAAAAAATCCATTTGTGGGACCTAAAAACAGTGTAAGCACTAAACATAAAAAGGCCAAAGGAACTTCTGACAGATAATATACCATTATCGATTTGGGTGACGCACACAGATACTTCTTTACTCCACATCATTAGCTACATCCGCAGCCGGTGGCCGGTTTTTCTGTTTGGCGGAGGAGTTGTGGTGGCGCGTGGTCCAATTTCCCCTCAGATTCAAACGGCTACAAAGTCTCTCTGCCCCCCGAAAATTCTCCACCTACTTTACCGCATCTCATTACCCAGGGTTTTCTTTTTAATCCCCCATCTTATCGCTTCATCTTCATCAGTGCAACGATTCCCAATTGTGAAAAAGGTATGTTCAATCTTCCCTGAATTTGATTAGAAAACCCTTTTATCTGATTTGCCCTTAATTGCTTGTTTATTTTTTTTTACTGTAACTATCGATTATTGCATTTCTGAGATAACCGATCATCACTGCTGTTAATTGATCTTTGGCTATCCTTATACTATTGTTCACAGGTCTGGTTGTTTATTTTTAGTATAAAGAACACCTTTTTAGCTTGTATCAATAAGTGGGCATTTTTTGAGGAACTTTTTGTGATCCGTTTATTGTCTGATATTTCTGTTGGATCATATATGGTTTATGAAATGCATAAACTTGGGATTTTTCTCCTTTCTGATTCGTTGACCCTTTCAGTTAATGCTTAGATTGTTATCGAGATGAATTGGTTTCGTTTACCAGGTTTGGATTTGATATGGGATGAATATGCTGCTGATTGACATTTTTTTTGATGATGTTAAGACCACTCTGATGATCGATAATTTTCCCGATTACATTCTAAATGATTTTTTGCTGGACTTAAGATGCGATTCGATTCCATTTGAGAAGATAACCTTCTTTCATTGTTATTTCTTTCATCTGTTTGTACTTCATCTTGTATTGCTAGAGCTGAATTGATTTCAGTTTAATTATGAGACAAGTGAAAAGTCTTAAATTTTATAGAATGACATGCTCTTTTGACACCTTGGGATCTCTGTGGTGGTTTTATGAAATTTCACACACTCGAACTGGCATTTTTTGCCATCTTGGCATTTGGCCGGCTTTTGTTCTTTGGTATGGCAACTCTGGGAGCTCTGTATTTGCTCTATCTTGTTTCCTTTTTTTGATCGATTGTGGCCAATAAATGGTTCCACTGTGGAGATGACGCCTTAGATTTTCTGCTGTTTTGCATTCTTTTTTGAGTGCCTCAATGCTCTTCCCAGACTTTTGCTCGCACGTCTGTAGTTTCTAAGGTTGAGTTGCTTGTCTGACAGGGTTGTTTAAAGCCACCTGGACCACTTTTAGAATTCTATGCCCTGAGCTGACAGAAACTCCCCAAATTTATTGCTTCTCATTGAAAAATGCCATGTGAAGAGATACTGAAGGCTGTCTTCCCATTTCTGGAAGGTGCTGACCTGGCTAAATGTATGGTGGTGTCTAAGCAATGGCGTGATATTGCTCAAGATGATTATTTCTGGAAATGTCTTTGTGCAAAGAGATGGCCATCAATATGTAAGCGGCCGCAGCCACCCACTGTAACTTTCCACCATCTGTTTCGTACCTTTTACAAGCGTCAACATCGCAGGCCACTTCTGCCTCCTAGGATGTCTTTGAATGACTTGGAATTTTATGTTGACATATGGTCTGACGAAAGTTTAATATTCTCAGAGGTTGTTCCTGGGCCTACTCTCCAGAATGGGTTCTGGATCCCTCCTCCCGGTGTTTGTGATGCACTAAGGTTTCATTTGGAGGGACCAGAATACAAGATGATTCTGCCTGTTGAACCAAGGTTTACCATTCCACTGTCTCACTCAGTTACTGTATCTGTGCTTGTAGTAAGGAAGGATTCCAACAAGGTGGCATGTTTAATTGACAAATCTGTATTTGATTATATAGACCGCACAGCCTATCGTGCTTTAGCATTTGACTACCTTGATTTCTCTCCTAGCTACCCTTTTGTTTCTGAGATTAGGGCATGGATATCTTTGCTATTTCTGGATAATGGTAGTAATGAAGGCGTCATTGATGTTTTTGGTATTGAATTGGATTTCTGTGACGCTGCCAACTCAGAGAAGGAGGTTCTCTGGCTACTCGACATGCTTGACTGGAAGTGAGGGTTGGAAGGTGTTGAGCTCTCCACATATTGCTGGAGATGGACATGCTTAACCTGATTGTGTTGTTTCTCTTTCGTTAAGAAGATTGTACAGTACCCTGCAATGGGAAACAATAATTCTGGATTGATTCGTTCTAAGTTTAGATGCCAATAAAAGCTATGAAGGAGGGTGCGGGGAAGATAATCTTGCTTATTAATTGTGTAACAGCAATTCCACGCGGCTCTGTTATTAGCTTTGTAGATTAGGGCAGTTGAATGCATTACCACCTTGTACTGATTGTTGCTTGTTTATTTTCGCAACTCGTATTTATTAAGTAATAGATTTGTTACGTAAAGCCTTTCCTTGAAGTAATCACTAGTCCATTTTCATTGTCCTGTTCTATGAACGTATTAGACATTCACAGCTGAATTCTACTGTTTTGATACCTATGAAACCCAACAAATAATCATTCCCAGGTCGCAACCCTAACTTATGATATTAATTTGTGTTCTGCAGTTTCTTCTGGTATTCAAGTTGGACACACTAGTCAAAAGCAGCTTGTTTATCACTTTCACTTGACGGCAGCTTCCGCATTTTGCCACATTTTTTTTTATACAAAGACAAAAGTATGTATATTTATGATCCTATAACAAGATTAGATATGTCATTGCATCTGCCCTCGACCATTGATTGTATTTGTACCGCAAAAGAAAAAGAGGGTGAAAATGCTTTTGTGCTACGATGAAGTCACTGGCCTAGCCAAGGATAAAGATGTGTAAGCAAATAGTGCATTCATAACCAAAAAATAAAAAAATAAAAGAATTGCCACTTTGAAATTGCGGAGTCATATTCTTTCACAAGATAACCGTACATACTCAACACTAGTCTCTGCAATAAACTCTGAATGACTATGAAAAGATAGGAATCTGTTCAAGGCTGACAGAAGGTGCATTCATAAAGCTTTCTAAAGCTGGCTGATCAAGTATAGGGAAGAATTCGCTCGCCAGTATAAGGGTCAAATCTATATGGTTCACCAGTGTAAGGATCAAATCTAACTCGGGGTTGAGATGGCAGTCGGTTAGTAACATCATCAAATCCAACCTGGGGGCGCGAGAGGGGACGATCAAGCACCCCTTCAAGTCTTCCGGCAAATTGAGTAGATGGATGACCAGACACGTCACTGAATCTCACTTGGGGCCGAGCTGTTGGACTGTCAGCCATATCACCAACTTTAACTTGACGATGAGTTAATGGACTGGCAGCAACAGCATCACGCCTAAATGCGGCATAAGTGGTTGGAACACCAGAAACTAAATCATCCATCTCAGGACTCAGCTTTAACTTTGCATAAGGAGCATAAGAAGTTGATGTTGGTTGCAGTGGAGAATGGTTCGTTTCTGCTCTTCCTAGTAAAGGTCGACTCAACATGGGGTAGTCTGGAACCACGGCGGAATAGTGTGGCACATACTTCTCGGACCTGCAAATCAGCCAAACACAAGCACCAGTTACACCCTCGGAAAATGTAAAATTGAAAGACTATTACATTAATCATCACAATTTACAACACTTTAATGTAAAAGAGCATATCAAGCGCAGGAATAAAAATATGCAAAACTAACATAGATGCAGGCAAGTGAATGTGAGGCAAGAGAATTCATAACAGTGTAATAGAGAAAATGTAAGACACAAATTTACATACAAGATAGGAGAACAAACCTAACTCCAGAGCCCACAGAACGGCCAAAAGAATCATCAGGCGCATATAGAACTCTATCTGAGTAGCTGGAGACACCCGAACCAGTAGCTGCATAATCACCTACCCTTGACATACCACCAGGAGATCGACTTGCTCGTTGATGCTCACCCTGATACTAATCAAAACAAAAGATCCAATTCAATCATCCAGGTTCTACCAGTGGCAGAAGCATATAAACGATAAAGAATAACTATAAGTACCCTAGCAATTAATCCAGCAAGATAAACTCCCTTGTTTCTGGCCTCTGCACCTGACAACATGAACTGTAACAGAAGATATGAGAAAAAGAGCCAATGAAGTAATGGAAAAGGAAGTTTGTACATGTACTTAATTACAAGGAGAAAATAATTTTTAAAAAAAAAATCTAACATGTTGTAAATAGAAAAATCAAGGGACTGACAAAACCGAACCTGATCAAGTACAGATATTGCAGTCGATTCCGGTAACTGCTTGAGACTGGTTATATTTTGGATATCAATCTGTCAATTACATCAAAGCTCTTAGATTATATGGTCGGCAACATAATAAGCAAGAAATGATGTGCTAAAATATCTTAAACTCACATCAAATCGAGTAGCAATGCGAAGTCGTAATATCCGAAGAAGCCGCTCTTTGACAGTTACAGGTAATGACAATACAGCAGCTTCATAAGGGTCCTCATATACTTCTTCCTGTTCCAATCAATTCAGGAATAAAAGTCAGATTCTGGTTTAGCTTATATCACTAAATTGTATTTTGCAAATGAACAGTATGATATGAATAGATGCTATTAAACTGAAATATTATTCCATAATCAGAATTTATGACACAAAAAATTAAGCAGATAATTGATGAATCCAGTTAATAAAGGCCAACTCGAGGAGTATGGTCAGGGAAAATGAACAAATATAATCTGAATTCTCTTAATTTTTAGTTCCCAATATTTTCACAAAATTTTGAGTTGAAATAATATACAACCTCAGCTAAAAAAATCGAGGTGAAGAAGAAAAGGGGTCGCGGCCGAGTCCTCTGCATAAATGACATTACCTTTTGACCAAAGGGCTTAACGACACTACATCGATAACTTTCCGGCTTGACACCAGGGATGTATTCTAGATTATTTGGAACTTTGTTCGCCATATTGCTCTGCGAATCCTCACGTATGCGCTTTTTGCTTTTGTCAGTAGGCCTCGCAATCTCAACCTGTCACCAAAGTTATTAAACAAACGAAAATATATGAGATTCTTACCCTGAAACCATTGGATTAAATATCCTGCAACCGAAAGCTCTTCAGATCACAACAGCTTTACTTACAGATAGCTTATGAGTTGGACCACCTTCCGGCCATTGTAATATCTTGTCATGCATTTCTCTTATAGCATTTTCTAGAGCCTAGTCCACAATGAGAAAATTCAAGTCATTTACTTAAATTATCAACCCACGAAATAATGGGACATCAGATTTCTTCAGTAAAACTATCTCCAGTCAACACGCACCACACACATATTACATTCACAAGTCAGAGTTGACATGAAGTCAACAAGTTTATTATGGGACCTTGTAACATTCAGCATATTTGAATAACTTTAAGTATGGACATTATCTAAGATCATCAGCAGAGATATAAATGATAATGGCAAAACAAATGGAGCAGTATAGTGTGATAAAAATATATTGCCAACAGGTCAGACGTCAATTTCCCAACAAATTCAATAGACAGCAGATACAGAATGAAACCAAAGACACACAGACACACAGACACACGCAGACATAAAGGATAATATGTCTCTACACATATGAAAAGTTTTCTCTAAGGTAGAGAGAAGCAAAGGAATTGGAATCCCTCTCTTTCATCTTCCATTTGTGGAACATTGGAGAAATCGGACTGCCCAATGCAAAAATATCTTGTCAAGAACCCGTATGCATATAAATTTAGACATTTGTCATCTTTACTTAGATCAAGTTAATTAGCTAAGCTATCCTCTTTCTTGAAATCCCAATGTATTGCTAAATATTATCCATAATCTCTTTTCATCCTTCGATAACATTACTTCAGTCACCGTCCACTCCACTTCACTTAATAAGATACAAAATTTGCCAAAAAATCACAAGCTCAAAGCACTGAAGCAATAGGAGCTCACCCTTCGCGTCTTCAGACCATTAGACTAACCCTAGTTCAACAAGTTATTACATTCACAAAGTACAATAAGCAACTGCCAAACCAAAATGCTGATAGATATGAACAGGCTAGAAGGTGACTTACTGATCTCTTGGTGAAGTGAACAAAACCGAGTGAAAGGCCCCCTTTCTTCCATAAGACAACCTTTTCTATCTGCAAGGATGCACAATACACTAGTCTTCATTAGCTAGAGCCACCAAAAGTTAGAAAATAGTAGTTGCAAGTTTTCTGACCTCTCCAAAAGGCTCAAACAATTTCCTCAAGAAGCTCTCATCAGCATTGCCAGGAAGATTCTTGATAAATGCAATTTTGATCTGAAAGGTGACGAAGGCAGATTAAAGTTAAAGTTTTTAAGATAAAAAGGAAACAACCAAATATAAGATACAAAGACAAAGGACCTTAGATAGTACTGCAGGATCAATCTCAGGTTGCTCCTCAACCCACTGAACAGCTGGATGCAAATTTCCAAGAAGAAATTCTGGTTTTGAACCCACTCGGAGAGCCCGCGCAGCAGCCTGTTGTTGAGAGTTTTAAATGATGTAGGTTCAACTTTATTAACCAGGAAGGTTTTTTTTATGAAGAAGCGCATTTTGATTTCAATGTAGCAAGATTGATTTTTAACCATGTAAGATTCTTATGATTTGTTTTGTATTTACATAATATATACTCAAATTGGAGGGCTTGAATATGTAGAAGCATAATTATTGATTGGCAAGCAGATTCAGAGCATATTTGACCAAGCTCTTCTAGAACTTGAGATAGTTTAAAATGGTTAATATTGATGTAGGTATAGAGCAACAGAAGAAGATTTCACAAAATATTCACGTACCACAAGAGGACAAAAAGTTGGGGGGAAACTAGTTTACAGTAAAGTCCAGAAAACTGCTTAAGCAAGTGGCAAGTCAAACAAAATTCATCCAAAGGAAACTTGTGGATAAGTTAAGAAATTGGAAGGACAAGAAATACCAAACTCAAAGGGAATTGAAATCAAGCAAAGTAGCACAAAATAATAAGAAGGTTTCACATGATTCACAAGCCTAAGTTACACAACACAGGATGAGGATTATATGTAAGGCACCAATAGCAGTCCCAAAAACGTCAACTTATAATACAAAACGAAAGGTACAAAATGACACTTGAATGCGCACCAAAGGCAGAACACTTGAATGTTTTGACGGGCGAAAGATAGCCGAAAAGATGAAGTGTGTTCACTGGATAATAGAATCAGACAGAGAAGACATAAGAGAAATGTATGTGCCAGAATACATTGAAGTCTTTCTTGAATATTGAGAGTTTACCGTTAATACCAATCAGATGTGATAGTTTTACTTGGCCTTTTTTCCAATTTAATTGATGGGGCAAGAATTTAAGATTGTAATGTCGAAAAACTTGAGGAGCATGAAGAATGATATCCCAAAGTCCTCAACAAGCAGTATGATTAGGTTTACTCTCTTTATTAATATTAATTTTTCCAAAGTTATCTTCCTGGTTATTATTGATATAAAAGAACCATGTTTATACAATTGATCACTTCACAACCATCAATAGTCTGGTAAAAATATCTCATTCTTGACTTATATAAATTTGCAGGATTACGTCTGTCAAAAGTTAATGAAAATGCACATGGCAACATTTACAGAGATCATTAGAGTGATGATGATGCAAAGGGAGGTAAATCTAAGAGATGCATCATCGGATGAAAGTAACAAATAAACGAATTTCCATATTAAAAAATCATTTTCAGCTGCAAGCAGTGGATCTGGAAAAAAGGCTGAGATTATTCGTATGAAACAGATACTCTTCAGCACAAGATATAATTTAGGTCTGTTTACATTCAAGTGGCAATAAATGAATGAGATTTACTATTATAAGAACAGTAATAGCAAAGAGCTTAACATTTTAGTTTACAAGTTGCTCTTTCATGTAGATTGCAGATCAAAGTGTGCAGTATCATTCTGTTCTGTAGAAATTGTTGAAGATAGTTATAGAACAAGAGTGTCTTGATAAACTATGTCTTAATTAGTTGCTTTTAGAATGAATTGCCTGTGAGCATGTATATTTGCTAGTGATTCATTCAACCATTGTTATTGTTTCTTAAAGGTTATCTGAGTTTTTTTTTAAAGGAAAATACATGATTCATCAAGCCTAAGAAGTTTTTCCCAAAGAAATGGACCAAAGATCAACATGCCGGAACCAAGTATCATAACCACGAACCTGAGGTTCCATCCTGTATGATTCGAGGCGCAATAAGAGTCAAAGCAAAGTACCATGAACGCAGAACAATTAAGCAACTACAGCATATATACACCAGTAAATTCAAAGAGCTAACAAAAAGTGAACTCACAGCATGAGATGTGAACTTCACAAAAGCAAAACCACGGTTTCTCTTCTTTTCAGACTGTAACTCTCCAGGAAGAGAGACAAGATCAACAGAAAGAACATCCGGAAAGACCTAAGAGGCAAAGGGAACAGGAACTAAGTAAGTAGCCCTAGAATTTGAAGATAACAATGGACCAGCCAACAAGCAGCGAGAAGAAACGGTACCTGACGCACTAGAGCTTCAAATTCATTCGCATTCCAACCTTAAGGACAACATGAAAATGAGATGACATAAACTGAGATAATTCACGATGTAAAGAAATCTCTATATGCACAACGAAAGACATGTAATCTTGGCAACTTGATGAAAATGCTTATGAATTATCAGATGTTCCAACAAAGAATGAAAATAATATCCAACTTCACCAGGAAACTAAAGCATGTTCCATAATGCCAACATACTATTACCAAAATTTCCCCAAGAAAGAGATAAAGAAGAAAGGGATGCTTGGAATAGGACCATGTCCCGAGACAAAATCATTTATATATCAATTCTAAAGATTAGTGAAATCTTTACAGTTGGCAAGGTGCAAATCAAAAAACAAAAGGATAAGAAATTTGAACAGGGTGCATTTTACTGAGGAACCAACCTTTGTTGAGGTTTCCAAAATACAACGTATCCTGCTCGGTTGATGGTCGAAGACCAATTTTCTTTCCATCAAGCTGAAAAGTAAAAAGACAGCGATTACTGAGTCTATTGAATAATGTTCTAAAGAAAATTTTAAAAACAAGCATTATAGGGGATAAGTCATATTAAATTCATCCTGTAAGAGCAACTGATGCAACAAACCAGAAACTTGAAGAATTATGGCACAGTTAATCAAAACCCTTAAAGGGGATATTTAAAATTAGAAAGATTGGTTTGTTTTTCTCTCGCCTAGAATATCAAAAACAATATGATGCCACAAACAGTAGGGGGAGAGAGAGAGAGAGAGTATTAATAGATGAACACACTGAACACAGTAAAAAACAGAAGAATATCTCCGTCACTCAAGCATATCTGAACTATCAACAAAGGTAACTGACTGACATGTACAGCTAAAATAAAATCGACTTAATGTGAAGTACCACCATCTATTTGCTTGACTTGGTAGTTACTTCAGTATTTCAAGATACCTTGCACTGATATAGTATCTCAAATGTCAGGGTATAAGAAAATCTTCTGCATTTCAACTCACGCAAATTAAGTTTCTGACAGATAATTACTTCATGAGTGTTTGGTCTACCTTTGGAGCAGAAACCTCAACCATTGATAACTGATCCATTCATCTCAAGAAAATTAATAGGCAAAACCAAAGGGAAAAAAAGAAAAAGAAACGAAAAAGGAATGAAAAAGCGCATGGAGTTGTCTATTGCACATATATCAGTATCAAGGTCAGTTGCAAATAATCATGAACGAGTTCACATGCGAGTCCCTAGAATCATAATGAATAAAAATAACACAGAACGCAGTGATGCTGCTTTAGTAAGGTAAAAGACAAGCAAATATTGCGGCAGAAACAGGTGAAAAACTTGTGAATGAATTTCAAAACATAAAGATAGATCCTCAAAAACAAAACAAAACCAAAAAAAAATAAAAGCAAAAGTGTCCTGGGAGCACTTCAGTCACTTAAGTACAACCAGGACACAACATAGGATTCATCCTACATTCAACAATTCAAGTGAATTTAAGGGCAAAAGGATCAAATTTGCAGACAAGATTGCAGTGTACAACACCGCCCACCCTAGAAAGAATGGATGTTTGAGACGACAAGAGATTACATACAATTCCGAATTCAAGAGCTATAGGCCATTGCTTCAAAGCAGAAGAATTTCAGTGTAATACCATGTTCTGAAATCAGAAGAAAAGTAAGAAATTCAAAAGAAGTTGAGAGCCATTACCACAACTCCAGATTTTTCTTTCAGAGCTTTATCAGCAGCCTCCTTTGTCGAGAAACGTACAAAGCAAAAGCCCTGAAACAAGACAGATAAGAGAATCACCATCTTTTCCTTCATAAGATTGCGTGAAAGAGACACAAGCAAACATTAGTTCCCGGGAATTTTAAATTCTAACCTTTGCATTGCCTTTCTGATCCTTTATCAGGCGTACATCAACAATCTCCCCACACCCAGAAAACACCTGAAAAAAAAAAAGCACATAAAATTATTCATAAATTTGTAACCAATCCGTTCATATGCTCAATTTAAAGCGAACCCAGAAAAAAACAAAACAAAAAGACAACCTCACGAATAGCAGATTCGGTAGCGGTAACAGGCAAACCGCCAACAAACACTTCAGTCCCTTTCATTGCATGTGCAGATTAACTTCAAACAGCAGCCGGTTTGAAATCGGAATTCTTTGACTCCTCAAGTAAGAAAAGAATCAAACAGACACACTCAAAAAAAAAAAAAAAAGGAGCAGAAAGTTGGTTTTGTTTAGGATGATGATTGACCGAAGAAATTCAAAAGGGTTTGGTGCGAAGAATGGGATTCCCGCGAGAACGGAGCCCTAAAAGCCACAAAAGAAACTAATCATCAAAATCAACAGAAAGTCTTTCAAGTTCCGGCCGCTGGTTAAGTTTTAGTTCTATTTCGCATTATGAATGACTAAAACACCCTTTCTGCTGACGTGTTTCCATGAACCAAACAACTTTATTCACGTCAGTTTTTATAAATTTGTCTCTGTATTTAAGGAAAAAAGAGCCACATTTGCAAAATATTTTTTGGGAGTTCAAAACTTTGTCTTGGTTATTTTACTTTGTTCTACTTCTCTTTCTAAATGTAGAGATGTTAGCCAATTTATAATCGCTTTTGTATTCCTCTACTAATTGCTGTGTACAAAGTTGATTTTGTGGCTTACATATATAATAAAATATGTATACAAGACACTTAGTCACACAACTTATTTCTCTTCTTCTGAAAAAAGCCTTTCTAGATAGCACAATCCAAAATATCTGTATGCAGTGCACCCATTTGTGGAAAGCTTAATCATAATGCCTCCGAGAAGCTCTCTTTGTTTTCTGCAGCAGTTTCTGAAGCCGATTCTAATTTCCTGAACACTAGCTTTTGCTGAGGGAGCTGGCCATTAGCAAATGCACTCACTTCTGTGTCTATTGAGACTGTATCTTCATCCTTAATGTCCCCCCTCAGGATTTCTTTCGCTAGCTCGTTTTCTACGTATTGCTGTATCACTCGCTTCACTGGCCTAGCTCCGTAGTTTGGATCGTATCCCAGAGTGCCCAGAAGCTCGATCGCTGCATCGCTCACTTGGATTTTCATTTTACGATCCGCAAGACGCTTCTCCACACGTTGCAGCTGCAAATGTCAAGTTGAAAATTTAAGCAAAGTAGCAGCAACATGACCTATTTCTAGCGGGTTTCTACAATATAATAAAACAGCTTACCTGTAATCTAACAATGGAGTTGATTTCGCTGCGGTCAAGTGGCTTGAAGACAATGTATTCATCAATCCGATTCATGAACTCAGGGCGGAAAACAGCTCTTGCGGCCTCCATTACTCTATTCTTTATAGTTGAATAGGCTAATTCCTTTGGCAAGTTGTCATTATCTGTATCAAGTATATACTGCGACCCCACATTTGAAGTCATGATGATGACAGTGTTGGTAAAACTGACGGTGCGGCCCTGAGAGTCAGTCACTCGACCATCATCCAAGATTTGAAGGAACACATTGAATACATCAGAATGAGCCTTTTCGATCTCATCAAACAAGATAACTGCATACGGCCTTCTCCGAACGGTCTCTGTCAACTGCCCTCCTTCTTCATATCCTACATAACCAGGTGGGGCTCCTATCAACCTTGAAACTGTATGCTTCTCCATGTACTCACTCATATCGATCCTTACAAGTGCTTCCTCAGTGTTAAACATATAGGCGGCCAAGGCCTTTGCTAGTTCTGTTTTTCCAACACCTGTGGGACCCATGAACATGAAACTTGCAATCGGCCGATTGGGATCTGAGAGGCCAGCACGAGACCTCTGGATGGCCTCTGCTACAGACTTAACTGCAGGATCTTGACCAACAACTCTTTTGTGAAGCTCCTCCTCCAAATGCAATAGCTTCTCCCTCTCGGATTGCTTTAGCTTGGACAAAGGTATCCCAGTCCATTTACTGACAATCTCTGCGATATCGTCCCCTGTCACTTCCTCTCTCAGCAAGGACTTTCCTGACTTCATATACTCATCAAGTTCTTTTTCCGTATCTCCAAGTTGACGTTGCAAAGAATTCAAGCTCCCATACTTGAGTTCAGCTGCAAGATTAAGATCATATTCCCGTTCAGCCTGCTGAATCTCAAGATTTACCCGGTCAATCTGCACAAAAAGGCATGTTCATCATGTTACACTCTCATTGGTATTGCATTTATGCTCATGAACATGAAGGCAGGCAAATGCGTTTTAGATGAAAAGGAGACAAAGCTTGCCCCAGGCAATGATTACAGTACTGTATTAAACCAAATACCTCTTCTTTGATTGACTGTATACGTGTCATTATAGATTTCTCGCGCTCCCACTGCTCATTCAGTTCAGCTTGCTGGGCCTTCAACAGAGACAACTCCGCCTCAAGGCGGTTCAATCTCTCTTTTGATGCTTTATCTGTGTCATTAGTAAGAGAAAGTCTCTCCATCTCAAGCTTCAGAACTGCACGATTGATCTCATCAAGAGCCGTAGGCTTTGAAGTGATCTCCATTTTCAATTTTGCAGCAGCTTCATCAACTAGGTCAATAGCTGCAGGTATACGTTACCAAATATTAGCTCAGCTTCTTTTTCTTTGGCCAAAAAGGTAAGATCACTTTCTTGGAGACTGAAAACACTGCATAATTAGTCCTATTGGCTTCACAATTCACAAACTTCTCAGAAGTTCACCTTGTAAGCTTAGAAACATGTTAAACGGGTATCATCGTCATCATCGTCTAAACTAACGACAGAAGGTCCAAGGTTTCAATACAAATTGTGAGGAAAAAAGTTCTTCAATTATATTTGCTACATTCACTTCGATTCACTGATTTGAAAATGGTAACATGTTAACCAGCAGTATACTTGTGCAATAGTCATGCAACACTTGTGAACTCATGAAATAACCACAGATCGGGAGACCCAGCAAATTGGACACAGTTTAACCATACAACAAAAAACAACATACATTTGACCAAAATTCAAACCACCTTCAACATGAAAACTTCATAAGAATCATTTCAAGTAGTTATATTTGGAAAACATTCCATGTTTTCAGAGTTTGTGAATTACGTGTGTGAATGAGTGTATAGAAAGTCTAGTTCTAACCAGCTTTCAGACTGAAAGCAATGGATACCTTTGTCAGGTAGGAAGCGTCCACTGATATATCGATCAGAAAGCATAGCAGCTTCCACCAGTGCACTGTCTGAAATACGTACTCCATGATGCAACTCATATCTTTCCCTCAGTCCACGGAGAATGGAGATTGTGTCTTCCACTGTTGGTTGGTCAACATAAACTTGCTGAAACCGGCGCTCTAATGCTGGATCTTTCTCAATATATTTACGATATTCATCCAAAGTTGTTGCACCAATGCATCGCAACTCTCCACGGCCAAGCATGGGCTTTAAGAGATTACCAGCATCCATTGCACCATTGGTGGCACCTGAAGAAAGGAAACAATAATGCCATTAGATTCATTACCCTCATCACCTAAAGGCTTTAAAAAAACCTTCTCTCTACAATAAATTTAACTAATTGTTTCCAAATAGACACCAAAGGCAGCATTCAACTGTTACCTGCTCCAACAACAGTATGGATCTCATCAATAAAAAGGATGATCTGTCCATCTGAATCAGTAACTTCCTTGAGCACAGCTTTAAGTCTGTCTTCAAACTCTCCACGGTACTTGGCCCCAGCTATAAGTGCCCCCATGTCAAGGGATATTAACTGCACAAAAAAGTAAATCTAGTGGATTAGAAGACCCTAAATAGTAAATGAATTTACTCAAGTCAGACTCCATATTCAAGTTTTGAGTTTTCAGGCATCGTGATCCAAATATTCCTACATAATACTGTTTCCAACTTCCTATAGAGAAAAGACAGGAAAGATCAAGATTACACACCCGTCGGTTCATCAGTGCTTGAGGTACATCTCCTTGAACAATCCTCTGGGCAAGCCTGTCAAATAGATAATAGAGATAAATGAAAATCCACAGACTGGGAAAATTCAAACAGTAAAAGTATCACATATGTTATGGAGAATACAATCAGCAACTTTATAAAACTTCTACACACATCCACGTTAGAGAAGGATCTTATATCAGAAATTAAAATCCATAATAAAGCTACATGTGATGATCGTTTCTTATCCCAATCTATCTTATCTTCTCTCTTCAAGATACTTTTGGTTACCATGAAAAAAAAAGATATTACAACCAATCAAGATGGATGGAATTTGCACTTATGACTTACCCTTCGGATATCGCGGTTTTCCCAACACCAGGCTCACCAATTAAAACAGGATTGTTTTTGGTTCTCCTAGAAAGAATCTGAATGCATCTTCGAATTTCATCGTCCCTGCCAATGACGGGGTCCAGCTTTCCAGCTCTTGCCATAGCAGTTAAATCTTTTCCATACTTTTCTAGGGCTTCGTATTTCCCTTCGGGATCTGTAAGAAATGCACAGTTTCTATGAGGCTTAAACTTCAATCACCACTAAAGAAACACAAGCTGTGCGGCAAGGCAATATATCTAGCCATCATGAACCCATCTGTCATACAACACCATCTGTTTTCCAACACTCTAAATTGTCTCAGGCATTCCATGCCAAACTAAATTTCGGAAAATAAATATTCAAAGGATACTTTGTATGTTTAAAAACAGCATATGATAGTCCAGGTGCCAAGCAAACCATAAATGGAATAATCCATATACCTCAGGTATCAAGCCTAGCATTATACACATCTACAAACAGAAAGTCTTTCTAATGATTAATTGTTACCTTGATCAATTACTCTCTGGTGTCCCCTTATGGCTTCTATAGCTTCTTTTAATGATTTTCTGGAGATTTGGAAGTCCTTGAACAACTGCTTTCCAAAGCGATTATCTTGCACAAATCCAAGGACTAAATGCTCAACTGAAACATATGAATCGCCATATTCTTTTTTGTATTCCTTAGCTCGCCGAATCAATTCTTCCAGATCCACTCCTATCATAGAACCAGGTTTACCCCCACTGGTAATCTGCTCAAACAATGAAAAAAATCCAAGCCGGTTATTAAGAGAGAACGACTCCAGTAACTATACTACCCAAGCTAAAACACAATGTTGACAACCCTACTTAAGGCTCTAACATAAATACCCAAGGCTCCTATACTTGATGAACCTGTATGATTGTGAAATTGGCACATGTTAATTCAAGGAGCACTCTAACGAATCCAGGAGTAAACCTATCCTCGGTAAATCTATATTAATTACACTCTCACTTGAACAACCAAGTCAAGAATTCATAAATCAATTACCACAACAATTCCAGAAAGGCTACTTGCACTAGAATCTCATAATAATGTAGGCATGATCAAGCTTCAGGCTTCATACTTGAAGGTAAATAATATAACTGCAGGTAATAAAATGAAATTATCATCACCTTTGGTTGCCTCTGAATAAACTTATCAGTAGCTGCTAGAAGGCTAGTGTTGTCCACACCAACTTTGGAGAATATGCGGCGAGCTAGCCCATCTTTCTGCTCCAGAAGTGCCTTCATCAAGTGCTCCGTCTGAATAATCTGATGTTTATTTTCCTTCGCCACTTCCGGCGACGACAGAATTGCTTGCCATGCCATCTCAGTGAAATCCTGCTGCATTATCTGCCACTCATTCAAGATAACACAAAATTCAGTCAATTATCCCTCCCACGTTATCTTTTGCCTAACGAAAACTCAGTTGCTTTAATCCTTACCGTTCCATCACCAGAGCCTTCGCACCGGACGACAAATGACCGGGAATTCCTACTGGATTTGTCCTGCCTTCTCCTAAAAATTGCATCTTTCCGGCTAAACTTGAGAGAAGAACTTAAACTTCGGAGAGTTTTTGCTCTAGCAGAGAAGCTAGCCGTCGACGGCGACGGCTGTGAGAACAAGGAAGCTTTACTAACAGAGTTGGACGCCGGAACATGGAATTGGACGTACGCAATCGACGCCGTAGACGCCATTATCAATTAATTCAATCTATATAGTAGTTAGTAGGTAATCTGTACACTGTAGAATTGGTAGAGGAGAGAATTTCGCAGGCCAATACCGGAGTTCGTGATTTTGCGTACTACAAAATCTTGAAGAGAAGGCGGGGGACTTTGCGTGGGAATTTAAAAAGGTAAGAGGACGGAATAGACAATTTTGGAGTAGCGAGGACCTGAGGCTTCTCGTACTTTCCAGGTTAGACTTGTCTGTCTTCCTTTTTTAAAAAAAAAAAAAAAATTTCCTGAAATTATTCAATTTCAATTTAAACACTATTTCAACACCACACGATCGTGATAAAATTCATGAATAACTATCCAGTTAGACTCTTAAATCATAAATGTATAAAAAATATGTGAGGATTTTTGAATTCCCCAGTTATTTCGGTGCAGGGTTGTGATCTTTTATTTTCTGTTTAATTTAATTATTTGGCATTAAGAGCATCTATAATTGTGGTAAATAACAAGTTAATAACTACTCCTTCCGTCCCATAATTATTGTCCAGTTTTACTAAAATAAAAAATTTTATTTTTGGTCAAACTTAACTATATTTTACCTTAAACAACCGGATATACTCCTACATAATTAATTGTTTAACCACTAAGATTTTATGGATAATGTGATTTTATGGATAATGTTTTTTACTAAGGACAAATGTGTAACTTGATCCATAAAAAGTCAAATTGGACAATAATTTTGGGACAAAATTTTTTGAACAAAGTGGACAATAATTATGGGACGGAGGGAGTATTTCATTATACTATTTGTCATTGTGTTGAGTGTGATAATATTATACGGCGTAAGAATTCTTACACTGTGTTTTTTTTTAAAAAAAAAACCCTCTTACAAATCTTGGTGGAATTTTACATTGTGTAATATACATTTTTTGGTATTAAAATATAATTAATGTGAATTTATGATGATACTAAAAATATTTCATTTTATTATACATTTACGGTGTGAACCAATATTAAGAAAAATGGAATGCAATTATAATATTGAAAATTTATGACATTATACTCACAATAGTGTAAATCAATGTGGATGCTCATAATTGTAGTAACTAGGAGTATTAAGTATTTATTACTAAATTAATGTATTATACCACGAGATAATACTAATATTATGTAGTATAGTTATATAGTATAATTTTTATACTACTAATAAGTAATTATGTAAATGAATTTGTACAACTTGAGAATTGAGGGCGAGCCTTGCCTTGGCAAAATCAAATTTGGGAAAAATAGAAAAGGAAATTTCTAGAACCCGTAACCAAATCAGAATTGGGAGACTTTTTTTCTTTTTTTTTAATCTTTAATCGAAAAAAATCAATTTTGGAAAACTATGAACCAAATAAAGGGAAGAAAAGGAGTCTCCCTTAAAAAAAAGAGTAAAAACCTCAGTATAAATATACATCGTCACGACAAGATCCTTATTCTCGTCGACGACTCTTCTACCTCCTTATATCTCTGATTCTCCGGAACTGTTTTTCTGGCCACTGTTTATTTCTCCTGAGTTAAGGAAATTTATAGTCAGAAATTAATGACGAAATATAGTCGCTGGTATTCAGGCTCCATGAATGTTTTCCGATGGGTACCGCACCAGCCGGCACAACCGTCCGGTTCGGGCGGCGAATTTTTCATCAGTGCCCACCTCCGCTCCGGTGATCAAACTGAGAAAACTCGTTTTGCTATAGTGCCTCTTTCCTTGTCTCAACGACAAGGCTTTCTAGATCCTGACCGCACAAAAGAATTGCTGGCTGCGACATTTACACAAATAGGTTTTCTTCGTTCATACCGTTATTTCGACAAAATGGTCCAAAAATTCGCCGAAGATGTGATGTATAATTATCATTTTACTCCCGAATTCTTAAGGAGGGAAGAAGAAAAACTTCTTATTTGGGTGGATCTGGATATCGAGAGAACTGATTATGATGTTGATGGTTCTCAGTTCACCTGTCCCATGGACGAACAGGACATTCTTTGCCCACTCCTCTCGGAAATCGAGAGCTCCAGAGGCTATGGAGGCAGCCAAATGGACGTGAGATTCGATGAAATCAGACCAGCAACAGAGCTTAAAGGGTTTGAAGAAGCTAATGTTGATCAATTACAGTTGTGTTCGATTTGTTTGGGCGAGCTCTCTGAAGGTGAAGTTATTTTAGCTGAGACCTCTTGTTCCCATGTGTTCCACCGCAGGTGTCTCTATGGCTGGCTGCGTCGGGCTCATTTCTGTCCAAATTGTCAAGCATCCTTCGCGATTTAGACAACATAGTTCAAGTTAAATTCTTTTGCTTTTCACTTATTTGGGGTGATTGTTGTGGATGTTACTCTTTATTAGTATTAATTTACTTTGCTTAGGAGCAATCCCTGTCCAATTTGTATGACGTTCTACTTTAAACTGTTGCTACTTTTTTACTTGGTTTCAATGCTGTTTCAAGTTCTTTGTCTTTCTTATTATTAATATTGATTCACTTGGTTTCAAGATAACATTCTGCACTCTATATCTGATCCTTCCCATTTGGGTTGGACTTTTACATGCTGCGCATGCTTCTCACTATGTTCCAACACTAGCCTCAGCTTTTAGCTTTGAGGAAAGACAGGGAGAAAGATTAGACACTTTTAGCTTTGCAGAAACAGGTTGAAAGAACTAACACGCTTTTGTCCAGTGACTGTTTTTGCCTTTTGCCTTCATTAAATTTTTAGTTTCCGTTTGTTGGATCAACGTTGCAAATCAATGAGGAGCACAGAACACATCCTATGGCATTCAGAACAAAAGGCAGATATTTTGATGTGGCAGGGAAGCTGCAAGGGGGATGGAGACCACACCATTACAAAAGTGGCTTCGATGAAGTCTCAAAACATGGGAAGCATTCTTAGACATGACAACAGCTCTGCAAATTAAATAAGAAGCAAACGAGGAAGCATGGAAATAACTCCGGAGTATGAAGGTGCCAGAAAAATCCAGTGCTTCATTTGAGCGGCAAACAATGCTCCTCCTGCATTAGATTCTCTAGCACGAAGAGGGTCTGCGATGCAAGGAAGGAGTAGAGACAGCATGGATGAGTTCAGTTCTAGGTTTAATTTTGACATTTCCTAAAACTTCACTTTTGTAAGTTGTTGGAAGCGTGACTCTTGGATGCGCTCGAATGGAGCTGCTGGAAATGTCTCTATTCATTTTGTTGTCCATGTGGCTGGCTAGAAATGAAGTGTTATGGAAAATATACTAATCTAATTCCTATCATGATGTAGTTTGGGTGACAAATAAGTGCAACTTTTCTCGCAAGTGCTGGCAGTATTTGAAGGATGAGTCAGGCACATACTCTGAAGTTAGGCCAAGCACCCAATGCAAATCACATGGATGCGCCGGCTAATTGCTTCATTAGGGGGGATCGAGCTTTCAAGGAAGCAGAGAAGAAACGTGTCGCTGCTTGGGTCATCAGCTAGAATGGTCAACCTGTCTCTTCAGGGAACGAATTTCTGCGCACTAACTCTTACAAGCAAAGGCAAGGGCTTTGGGGACGGATGGGAGTGCACAGCGTCGCAAAGGAAATCAGAATGCTAAGTTGGAGCCCGACAGGTTGTGATTTTATGAAGATGAATTCGGATGGAGCCGTGGATTTGGGGACAGGGCTAGAAAGGCAGGGGGCTGATCAGAGATGGAAATGGCAGGTGACATGGGAGATTCACTATGACGATTGCCTTCTGCTCAATTACAGGAGCGGAGCTTTAGGGGCTCTGTCAGGGCCTGTCTTTGGCTTGGGACCTTGGATACAAAATGGTTGAAGCAGACCTTGATAACCAGGAAGTGGTGGAGATAGTGCTTGACCATAACAGACCGCCTACCCCGCATGTAAGAGTCTGTTGGGGGCCATTAGAGATCTTTTGTATAGAGATTGGGCGGTTAAACTCTGCCACGTCCATAGGGAATGTAATGGGCCGGCGGATTTTTTGGCGTCATTGGCGGGGTCGAATCCGGGAGGTTTGCTTCGACTGGATTTCCCCCCTCCAGGACTTGTAGGTTGGCTGTATCACGACATGTGACTACACCATTTTGATCCAAAAAAAAAAAAAAGGCAAGGGATTGCATCAGGTCTGCAAGAAGAGATTTCAGGATGTTTGCTTGAAATAGATAACATTGTGACTGCAGGTATTACAAGTAGTCCAGGGACGCCGCTGAGATTAAAAGTGTCGGTGATGGCATAAAAATTTTTAGCACTTTAATATTTCTGTAAACTCATGAAAGTAGAGAGAGATTTGGTGGAGAAAGTGCACAGATTTATATCTCATATCTCAACACCACACCCCTGGCCCTCTGTAATCTTGTAACTTTTTTGTTTTGGATATAAGGTTCTTTTCCCCACATCCCTCTGTAATACCGTAACCCGTGTGCTTAAAATATAATGTTGGATGTTCCTTAATAAAGGTTGTTTTCATTACTTCAATTCCGCTGATGCTGTGGGAATGGGTTTGCAGAGTCCGTGCGAACTGTCATGGATCACGGGCGTTGTTGAATACGATCGTGCGGATTTTATATTCAAAGTGATAACTTTATCTACGGCCGAGTGGTAAGGGGTGGAAATGTTCAAATGAGTACGTAATGAATTATCAGGAATCAGATCTCTGATCGATGTTTCATTTGTGGAAATCAAAATCTTGATAATATACGAAACACATACTACTACTATATCATGTGAGCTCCGCCACTCCGGCTAAGAGTGATTAGTACAATGCATCCTGGATCCTGGGTTGCATAGATCTACCTTGGAATTTTATTAGCTTCCTCTTACTTCCGCATCCTGGATCTCCTCTGCTGTTCCCGCCAACATTACCTCGTGGCCCTTTGTCCCACCAACCCTTCCACCTCCCGCTTCTTCTCCCTCAGGCAGGCCTCATGAATCATCATAGCCTTAAAAAGCTTCTTGCAGAACCACTTCCGCATTCCATTCCTCACCGTCCCACAACCATACCATATTTTTCTATATTATGATAAAACAACTCAAAACAATATCCTCTTCCCTTGGCGCCTCCCTCACCCACCTTACAAACCATTCCTTGAAAGGTACCACAGGGTCCCGTGCAAAACCAAACCCAAAGGGCGACATCCGCCATACTACTTGTGATGTTATACATCTCAGTAGATGGTGATGACTACATTCTGCAGGATGGTCGCTGATGACTACATTCTATTTCAGTCTGGCGGTTTCACTTGGATACTGTGGAGTGTGGACAGACAAATTCCAGGGAGCTGGCTTGGTAAAATTTCGCTGGAAACAGTGATTCGGTAAGAGCTGTCCAGTGAGTTCCAGTCGAACATCAGGTCTTCTCTTAGAACCCCAATAAAGCCTGGAACTGTAGCTGAATTAATCCGGCTAGAATCTTCTGGAATTGCTTCTGGCAGTAAACTTCGGTAGTCTGATTCTTGTGGTTGAGTTCATTCAGTTCAGTTGCCCTCAAATTGTCAGGAACTGAGAAAGTTTTAGCCTGCCTTCTTATATGATCAAATATCATGTCTCCTGTCAATTTGTTCAGGTACAGGAGGACCTTGGACTTGAAGTTCGTCTGGATTACACAAAAGGATGTATCAGATGTTAAAACTTAAAACACGTATAACAATCCAGTTTTTGGAATGGAAATCCAATTTAGAGACTGACCTGTGTTTCTTCCTGTAAATTGTCACAAAGATTCTTGGACGAATGTCACAAAACCTTGTACAAAGGTGGAAGATACAAATACCCTGCAAACCTGCAAATTTGTTGAACGTCTTATTGCAAATAACAGAACCAAGGTGTGTGACATGAGAGTTTTTACGTTCTTCTAATTCTTCATCTATAAGTTTGAAACTGGGCCTGGTCAACAAGAAATGATGTGACAGTCAGAAACTACAATCACATTGATGAGAATGCAACAGGAAACTACTGATAAGTGGCATCGATCGCTATATCACTACAGATTCTATTTCAAACACTCAAACTCTCTTGAAGTACTTTAGATTCCTTTGAAGTTCTAGATACTTTAAGTTGTGCTTTATCTGAGGTATTGTATGATTTAGCAATATAATACATGTATGATTACCATTGGCATGCAAGTCGACGACATCCTTTCCTATGGTCTTTGACGAATATCAACACCAACTCTAAAAATTTTGAAGTAATGTATGAGGTCAGCTGCTGATCAGTCTCATGTCAGTAAGGACTACATGTATTATATTCTTCACAGAAATTTACGGAATTCTTCAAAAAGGAAATCTACAGTCATAAAGACACAATAAGTTCATTTGTAATAGTAGCAAAAATAGCAAGAAAGCAGACTTGATTTCATTTCAGACTTGCAAGCAAGCATTTTAGGTCGACTAAATATTGATTCAACAGGTGAACTACATCAAGAAGCACAAGGGTTACACTGCAAAAGAGATCAGGCCTCCATCTTTTGCGTGATAGCACCCTGATTTATAAAACATCTGCAGGAACAAGAATTCTAATTTCTAAGACATACTGACACAACATTAAAATAAAACAAAGTTAGTGCTTCAAAAACAATCTATAGAGCTGTAAGAATGATGTCTGCATGTTTGTTCCAAACAATTTACACCCAACTGCCCAGATTTCTGGTTCCAATCACGAAATTTATCTGTTCAAAAGCCTTTGATGAAGTTATGCCAGTCTTTGGTATCACCAGAAAGGTAACAGTCGTAAAATGAATAAAATTGAAATGTTCTGGTTACTGAACATATTGCAATCAGAAGAAAGAATAGTTCCATGCAAGAATTCATCATTTCCACATCCACACTTCCATCACCCACTCTACAAAAATAGTCCAATTAATATGCAGTTTAGGTGCATTAACTTTATTACAAACAAACATACACACGTGCACACAATAAAGACACCATAAGTTCAGTCGCCAAAGCTTAAATAAACACAAACACACACACACACACACACACACACACACACACACACACACACACAAACAAAATGCCAAAGTTTGGAATTGTATGGATAAAACACAGCCAAAGTAGTGAGTCTCTTATGAAGTCAGTATCACAGAATCAACATCAAACGTTTAAAAGATTTCTACTTGGCACTGAGTACTGACTACTGAGCATAAAGCAAATCATAATACTTCAACAACAAAATGTTATTTTACCATTTTCTTGATCTCCTTTAAAGGGATGAAGATTCCATCTCTAGATATAAACTTAAATTCAAAAGTGCAGTCTTCCCAATTCCAGTAGGAGCCGGAATAACCATGCTCAAGCTGGAAAACACTCTGGCATGAATTGAAGGACCCAGCAATGCAGCAACAATTTAATTTTTAATTCAGTCAAACCCTAACTCCTCTCCCCCAAACACCCCCTCCCTCCCTTTTTCTAATTCCCTTGATGTACTCTAAAATCATATGCATCTAGAAGAACGAGTTAACGGACCATAAGTGCAGGCTACTTGAAGAAAATGATGTCCATTATACCACCAAAAAAATTCAAAACTTAGCATATCTAATCATCATGACAGAGGACCAAATGAAGCCTCTCAAGTTTAGGCAACACCAAGTGTAAATTAGTATTCAAACATCAAACTACAAATTTAAATTGATTTATTCACTAAAAACTCATGCATCAGAAGAAAAGCAAAAAAACACTGCCTGAAACTAAAGGATGAATTGAAAGGAGCAGGTAAATTCAAAACTGATCTCAGAGCAGTTATCCATAATTTTAGAGAGGATTGAAAAAAATTTGGAAGTTAACATGCAACCTCCAAAACCAGATTTTATTAAGGAAATTGAAAGTATTACAATGGTGAGGCTTAAAACTGTGAGTTAAGCCATTCCAAAGACATTCCAAAGAGCCTCTCTTACGAATCTCTATATACTACCAGGGCAGACGAAAGGGACAACTACTCTTACGAATCTCTATATACTACTAGGGCGGATGAGACAACTACTCAGTGAATTAAAGGATTCACAACTATCGTTGGTGAAAGTGGTTGTGCAAAAATATCACATCAAGGTGCCTGACTTCTTATCAACTCTCCCAGGCTCTTCATCACTGCATCAAACTGCATTGGGTGGATATAGAAAACAGAAACAAAAGATAAACATATGAGTTAGAGATAAAAAACAAAACAAGAATAAAACTTTGTTCTCCAAGAATCAAGAATTTCATGTACCTGATCTCTAACTCTTCGATACCAATCAAGCAGGGATGCCTTTTCTTTTCTTGCCTCGCCTGCAAAGACAGCGATGGAGAAGCAAGGTTAAGGCAGAGATAGCTTATTTCACTCGCAGGTAGCAACAAACACATAAAACAAAAATGTTACCTTCCTAAGCCTGATCCGTTCTATATCATCCAAGTCTTTCCTTTGTCCGGGATGCTTCTCCGCCTCTTTCTTATCTCCCGACTTCTTGGAAGCAGCCTTGGTAAATTTATGATAGCCAGGGCGGTTATATTGATGTTCCTTGAATTCTGTAGACTCCACCACCGCTTCCTCTGGCTCCTCATCATCAGTTCCCTTCTCTGCTTTCCCAATCTCTAACAAAGTAGCCCGGAGTTTCTGAATCATGTTAAGGGTATCTGATGATTCATCTATAAGAAGGAGTAGTCTTAGAGTGCTTCTGCACACAAAGCTCAACTCAGTTTTGATCTTCTCTTTATAAAATTCCACCAGCCTAGGATCAAGATCTTCTCCCCCAGAATCGAGGGCATCAAGAGACTTCAATCGCTTTTCGATCAGTTTGGTACATGAACCGTGAAGCACCTCAAATTCTTTTCGGTCATTCTTGTACCTTTAAAGGCAATAGATTGCTGAACAAACTTCAGAGCCTCTTTGAATCGACCACATTTGAAGGCTAAATTTGCATGAACAATACGACCCTCGCCCCAAGACCTTCCGCCAAGAAACAACGTGTCCTCGTCTTCGTCTGAGAACTCCGCCCTAATTTTGCCAATTTTAGCCCTCAAATCATCTACTTCATCTTTATGCTGAGTGAGGTTCTTAAGCATCGATTCCAAGAAATCTGTGATAAGACGAATCTCACCTTGAACCTTCCTGCGATACATCTTAATGGAAGCAGCGGATCCTTCTTCATTGTCGGCCGTTTTCTTTTCGATCGCACTGATCACGCGAATGGAGGCTCTCCTCTCCGCAATGATGGTGTTAAATGCACTGGATAAAATATCACGGTCCTGGATTGTGAATACATCTTGAGAAATGACCTTGGACATGTGGATGAACACTTCGCCGTCTCTCCCGGCCACCTTCGCCACCTTCGCCGCCTTCAAATTCTCAAGCCTTAACCCCATCTTTTCCAGTAACCGTTGCTTCATTTCTTGTACTTCCTTCTTTGACGCCACTCTCTCCATTGGCATTGAATCTTGATCACAGGAATCGAAAGAAACTGAGCAAGGTTAGGGTTCTGACCGGTTTTGATCGGAAAAGTAGAAAACGGTTATCACCCTGGAAAACCTAGAAAGGAAAGCTTCACTAATACGCAATGAATTTTGGGTAAAATTTATCAATTGTAATTAATTAATTAACCAAATCGTCGTTCTGATGTCATATTTATACATTATTAATGGCATTGACTGACCCGAACTTCTGATTGTTTACAGAACTAGGACCTATACTCATGATTATGTACAATATGTATTAAAATTTATCAATTGTAATTAATTAATTAACCAAATCGTCGTTCTGATGTCATATTTATACATTATTAATGGCATTGACTGACCCGAACTTCTGATTGTTTACAGAACTAGGACCTATACTCATGATTATGTACAATATGTATTAGTGTTCATTACAACTATTATTTACAGCAACTAGCCAACTAGTACACTACTAGATACAACCCGGGTAATCACGGGCACCCAGTTATTTTATTTTTTTTGGTCCGACCGGTGTCATTTATATAATTAATGATTCTAGTAAGATGTTTGAGTAATAACTCTGTTACAAATCAATAGTTTGATTTTAGAAAGGTAAATCTTATAATTAGACTTACAAAACTAGTATAATCTAATACTAGTATTATGTCCGTACGTTGTGCGGTGCTATAATACTCTTTCGAAATTAAAAAGATCGTCCATATTGTGTTTTTAATTAACTGTTTTTAGTTAAAAGTATAAAATTCGGTATGGACTAACTTTTTAGGACGTGCAGAATATTTTAGTTTAATAATTCAATGAATAAAAGTGCCTTATGAAAAGATTTGTTTAGTAGTGAAAAAACTACTCACGGTAATTAGAAATAAAACTAAGAAAACTTTCATTTCAGTTCTTTTAATTTCTGTTTTTTTCCTTTTAAAATTGAAACCTAATTTTTGAAGAGCAATGATAGAGACAGTGACAAATAATAGTGAAATGAGATAATGACTAATAAAAAAACAAATATACCATTCTCACCAATTATGAAAGGCTTGTCTTCTGATGGATTTCATTTAATTTTTTTATTTTCATCTTTAATAGCATGTCACTCTAAATCATTATACTTAGAAGGTTCCAAATCGTTGGTAGGTTATAAACTTGTGACTAGATGCTTGCCCCGGACGAATGCCCCGGCGACCCCTGTTAACTAAAAATTTTGCTATGCTGTAACAAAAATAACAAAAAAAAATTAAAAAAAAAAACCTCATATATTTTATCATGAATAAATAAAGAGGGTTTTTACAAAAAATAAAGAAGGGGAACAATGTCTAGTCAACATAATAGTATTTCGGCTATTACAACAAGGAACAATGTTTTAGTTGACCCATTTACCTCTATGCTCTTGATGAACGCTGCTACCACTCCGTGGCAGTGTGTGACTGTGTGTGAGTTTATCAGAGACACATGAAAAGAAGGGACAGTGACTCACCGACTTTTGACATAAAATACATAAAGGAGTAGTTTCGTGCCGAATAATTCGTTACATCAAAGGTCTAATATTTCTCTTGCCGGAGAAGCCCGGGTTTCAGTTTGGAAGTAACAGGCTGAGGAGGAACTGATATTTTATTGGTTGCTCGGATTTTGAAGGAAGGAGAGAGAGGAGGAAGGCCGACGGTGGGTATTGGAAGAGGAGATTACTCTTTTAAAGGAGAAGAATCGTATCTGAAAAAAGAATTTGAACTTCACTTATCTCTTCTTTTTTTAAAAAAAGAAAAAATTAAAATGTTGTCGATGGAGTTAAGATTTGGAGGAATCATTTTCGGATTTAAATGTAAATCCCTTAAATTGGGGAGAGTTTAACGTGAACATTTAAAATAGGGAGTTATTATATCCCTTCTTTTACTATTTTTTAAAATCTCATTATATTCTGGAAAACCCTTAAATTGGGGAGTGTTTTAAGGTGATCATTTTGTATCTTGCAGAATTGTGGAGTCTTTTTTTTCGGATGTACACATGACACGTGGCATCATTCTTTTGCAAAAGATGTTTTTTTTTTTGTTTAAGCGGGAAAAAAACTTATGTGAAGCTGACACGTGTCCTAAGTGTCATTTGCTTTCATGAAGTAAAAAGGATGGTTTTTGCTGCTATTTTAGCAATTTTTTTACAGCTTGTTGAACAAAAATAAAAGAAGAGGAAGCAACAAATCGATTCCGTCTTCATTTTCAATTTTTCATTTTTATTTTCAACAACCCGTTAAACACACACACATGAAAAAGAAACCAAATGCTACTTGTTCAAAAGGAATTTTTTTCGAAATTGTAATCGAATTAATAATAGGACGTCTTCTGGCAGGTTTTATTCCATCTTCATTTCTATTTTTAACAACATGTCATTATCTATCGTCTTGTTTAAAAAGTTCCTAATATTTAGTAGGTTAAAAACCTACAATGGTTTTGGCTGCAATTATAGTTTGTTTTTTTGATAGCACATTAAAAAAGAAAAGGAAGAAGAACCGGCGAATCTCATTCCATCTTTATTTTCAAATTTCTATCTTTATTTTGTTGACAGCCCGTTGAGCAAAAAAAAAAAAAAAGTAACCAAACATTATTTGTCCAAAGAAAAATTCTTCAAAAGTTTTATCAAACTATGAAAGGACCGTATTTCAGCGGGTCACATTCTACAATATATCACTATGTATTGTTCTATTTAAAAGATTCTGAGTTTTTGGTAAGTTAAAAACCACAACGGTTTTGGCTGTAATTTTAGAAATTTTTTATGACCCGTTGAATAACACACAGACACACACAAAAAAAATGATAGATCTCATTCCATCTTCTATTTTCATCTTTATTTTGAACAACCTATTGAACCAAAAAATAAAAACAAAAAAAAAAAAAGAAGAACCAAGCACTATTTACTTATCCAAAAAGAAATCCTTCAAAATGTTATCTAATTACTTGTCCAAAGATATTTTCAGGCCTTAGAAATGGCGACATTGCACGACGGGCGTTTAGATAGTAATTTCTAAATCTCATTTGTTTTCATCACCATATCCAAAAAAATAAAATAAAATTATACCCTTGATTTAAACCCGTCAAACACCATCACTAATCATCCTAAAATTTTAAATATTATGAAGTAAACTCATGCCACTGTATAAATTCATACCGTGTTTATCAATATCTTTGTCTGCGATTTACAAAATAAAAAAAAAATCAGGAAAAAAAATCAAATTTGACTGTGTAAATTAAATATCTGATTCGTGACAGCCTATTATTGGGATACTTAGAGTTTAAAAGAATTTTGGCTGCTATTTAGCTTAAGGATTAAGTTTTAAAGATTTGAAAGATCAAATCAATTTCAAATCTAAAATTATCCCTTTTACCCCATTAAAACAGAAGACATGAAGTTTATGTGGCAACTACGTATGCATCTGTTTTGACTCCAATGCACCATATTTCAGATTTCAGAAGTCTTTTTGCCACGTGTAAGTCTCTTTTAATTAGAAGCTATATAATTTTTTTTAAAAAAAAACACATGTTTTACTACAAATAAGGATCGATTACATTTCAAACAAATGGATATAGTAATTCAAATTCAAATGTCCAATCGTATAGTTTTGCAGGCTTAATATAAACAAAAAATAAAAATACCTAAATCCAGCAATTAAGAATAATGTCTTATAAACTAATTATTTATTATTCCTTATAAACTCACATTTATAGGTATATTTTTTTAAGCCCCAAACCATAGCATAAATGATATATACACCAAATTAATTTCTCAAAAAATAGTAATTCAATTTAGATTTTAATAAAATAGTAATTTAGAGGGGACGCTTGGCATCATCCCACCCGAACATAGTTATTTCACTTTCAATAATTTTCTTTATCATCCCACATTTTTCTTACATCCTTTCACCCATTCCAACTAAAGATCCGAAATTGAAGGAAAAAATAAAAAATAACCCGCCTTTAGCATGAATAATGTCTTTAGATAAATAAAAGAGAAAAATCAATATTTTTTTTCTAAGAGAGATTTGTGGGAAATTTTGTAATGGTTATATTTATAGTGGTTATGTTTTTGGCTTTTAATATAATTTAAGTTGTGTAATAAATTAAGCCCGTAATCATAAATATAAATTATTTCCTGTCACATGAAACGAAAGAATTTGATGTACCTTAAGGCAGTGAAGAAAAAAGGAAAAAGAAGCAATTTTAAGTAGTATATGAATGAAAGTAATTAAAAGCGCAAATGTAAAATTAACTAAATCAAAGTTTTAAATTACAATGATAGTTTGTACAAACTTAATAATATATATTGGGTTTCACTATTACTTTAGTCCAATAACTCAAAGTAAATTATTTTTTACTAATAAAGAAGTTTATAATTACAAATTCAAATAACCTACTATAAAATGAGATTGAGAAAAGATTTACTAATCAAATGGAATTATAGATAATCATAATAACATCATATAAAACATGGAAAACCTAATCATTGAAAGATAATTTTTATTATAATATGTTAAGAGGTCACCAACAAAACCACAAGTCTTCATAATTATTTATAGTATAGTATTTTATGATTTTGTTGAAATACAATTGTGTGTATTTGTTATTGGGCATACGTTATGTAATTAAGATATTTAATAATAATTCCATTTCGTTTTAAAAGGGTAGCAGATCATTAGTGAACCCATATGTAATATAGACCCTAATAGTATCCGCATGGTGATTCTACAGAGTAACCATCGATCTGTTCTTCCTGTCGATAAATTATAGAATGTGTTTTTTTATAAATAAAGGAAAAATTGATCAAAAAAAACAAAATCATAATCAATAAGAATGCATTGTAATCCATCTCACTCCAAATCCTCCAATTCAATGTTTAATATCTTTCTATCTGGCCCTTCTTCGATGACGCCTACTCCAACTATCTCACCTATCAGGTCAGAAACAAACAACACATAAGAAAATGGATGACTGACTTTA